GAGAAGCTCGCACGTGTGTCAGGGAGTGGCCATGGCAGCTCCGTCTGTCCACCACCCCAATATTAATAACTAATACTAATATAAATCATTGCTAGCATTCATTGCAAGCAATTAGATTGATTACTAAATGAACAGTGCAATTTTATGGTGCAACAAAAAAACTAAAAAAGTATTTACAGTTTACACTATGAACTCTTCAGTCCAGTAGAGAGCTGCTTCATTCCTGAATCCTACAGGTCCCTGTTAATGAGGTCCAGCTCATTTATAGAAGATTTTGATTGTAAAGCTGATCCTAGATTTTCACAAGAATTTCCCCCAAGATTACAGATAGTTGTTCTGCCAATAGTAAGACATTACAGCAGACAATACACAATGTGCTAAAATTAGTACTTCTGCATGAATTTAATGAGAAATATGACATTTGTTAATACAACATGCTACATATTCAATTGTGTTTTAATATTACTGGGATGGTCACAGGGCAACAAACTGCTCATATTCTCAATGCTGCTTTACAAGTAAATGGTCTCTAGCTGTTCTGTAATCATTTGGTTTTACCAATCCCAATCCAACAAGTTAATCCAAAGTATTCAGGTAAATCCTTGCTCGAGGATAAATGAACCGATCATAACTTCACTTCGGATCCTGCTATTCTTTCAAATGCATAAAACAGATTAAGATGCAACAATAGAAGTCCTTCTACACAACAGATACACCATACAATACAAGTTGTTATGTCTATTTCCAGTGCATTTACTGCATACATACGTGTTGTACTTGAATTAAGCTGAAAATCATAACTGTTTCCCAATATAACTTTATGACATGAGAAACAATGTAACTTTGTAATATGTCTTGCTGTCCCTCACAAAACATTTACATTTACAGGGCAGTTTCTGTTGAGTGCACCGGTTTGAAGCCAGACTGGTTGGGGTCCTGGAGCTGGTTGTGTGAGAGAAAGAGAGACAGTTGATTACAGACTGCACATTCAAGAATTTTTTAAAGGAAAGAAAGGAGTGATACCGGTCTGTAGCTGTTTACATCAGAGCTATCAAGCATCGGCTTCTTTAGGATGGGAGCAGTCTTGAAAGTTGATGGAACTGGCCTGATGACAAGGAGTTGTTTATGAGAAAAGTGATAAAGGGCAGTAGATCCATGGAGATTGACTGGAGCAATGTAGATGGGATGGGATCCAGTGGGCAGGTGGTTGGGTTACTGGATTTGATCAGTTGAAGGACATCATCTGTGGGAAGAGAAGAAAAACAGTTTAGGGGATTGAGAACGAGAGGACGAGGTCTAGTTTAAGGAGTGGAGTGGAAGGAAAAAGCTGACAGATTCCATCAACCTTCTCCTCAAAGAAGGTGACAAAATCTTCAGGGGTGAGAGATGAGGGTGGAGGGGGAGGAGGAGGGTTTAGGAGAGAAGAGAAAATGCTAAAGAGCTTGCGTGGATCAGATGCTGATGCTTCCAGTCTCCCTCTGTCTAAAGATGACTTTGCTGCAGCAAATTAAGTGAGGACTTAGAAAGGAGAGATTGATAGGAGTAAAGATCCGAGTCAAGCTGGGATTTCCTCCACCTTCTCTCAGCCTTCCTTAGTTCTTGCCGGTTGCTGCACAGGACACCTGTCAGCCAGGAGGCAGGTGGGGAGAATCTTGATGGCCTGAAGGAGAGAGGACACAGAAGGTTAATTGCAGATGAGAGTGAAGAAAGGAAAATATCTATAGCTGTGTCCAGTAAGACAGAAGAAATGAGTCAGGATGGGGAAGATTGGTCAGAATAGTTGAAGCGAAAGACGAAGGAGGAATGGAGTGTGGCTATGAGTTCATGTTCAGGCCAAGAAATGCAAGGGTTGTGTTTTTCTAATCATGGGAAAGTCACAGACAGTTCAGTGGAATCCAAAACTAGAAAGAGTGATAAGTTCAGCATTACTGTTAAAGCATTACATTTGTAAGTATCCTGACAGTCAACTGTGGTCGACAATGGCTGTGTTTACATGCAAAGATTTTTGCCAATCCGATTGAACACAATCCGATTACAGATTCAGACTGAGGTGTTTATATGAACACTATTCAACAATGTTTAGAGTAAATGTTACCATGACAGTGAACATCACGTGAGGTCCAGTCAGCGTGAGATGAGTTTTTGGCACGCTTGTGTTTTAATTGCTTTAAAATGAGGTCAGACTCAGGAAAACGTGCTTCACATGTACTTATAAAGGAAGCGGCGAGACGAAGACGTCGTGTTCTGAGACTCATAAGCTGGTCGTCCGTCCCACCGCCGTCTTTTAAAGATCAGAGCATAAACTTCGTCTCCTCTGCAGACCAGTTTCTGCTCCTCCATACTGAACGGTATAAACTTTCGCCATGATGCGACGCACATGCGCAGAACATACCTACACGTTCCGATTGGGATGTAATCAGATACAGGTGTTTACATGGCTATTATTCTTCTATTTAACGGATTATTTAGAGGTTTACCCACCTCGTTCAATCGGATAGAAATTGTATTCCGAATGGCCTCAATCGGACTAGACTATTCCGATTGAGGTGTTTACATGGATTTATTCTATTCCGATTGAGCTATTAGTCGGATTATTAACGGATTATCAGGCTGCATGTAAACGTGGCTAGTGTTGAAAGCTTTTGTTAAGTCAATAAAAATGGCAGTACAGTGCTTCTTCCTGTCAAAGGCCATGTAGAAATCATTTAAAATGTGTAGTCACAAAGATGGTGCTGCGTTTTTCTCTAAAATCAGGCTGAAAGTTAACAGCACACAACATACAGTGTAAACTTTACATACAGTATAAATGTATGTACACTTCTGACTGTGTAACTGCAGTTACTATGGTTAACTTATTTTAATTTATTGTCATTATCGCTATGCGCAGGCCTATATGTAATGAAAAGAGGACTGCAGCTTCAAGAGGGTCCTTAAGATACAGGAATCCCAGGAGGTTGGGGGGTAGCCAGGTCCAACATATAGCCAGGTTTAGGTGGGAAGAAACTGTTTCTGAGCCTGGAAGTACTGGGGACTCCTATAGCGCCTACCAAAGGTCAGGAGGGAGAACAGGCTGCAGTGGGATGGGTGGAGTTTCTGCTGATGCTGAGCCTCTGCACAGACAGTGTTTATGATAGATGTCTTTTATGGCTGGATTCTGTGTACCAGTGATATGCTGGGCTGCCTTGACAACACACTGCAAGACTTTCTGATCGGGAGAAGTTGACAAGTATTTTGGGAGATGGGCAGGGTGCTCCTCAGCCTCCCCAGAAAATGCAGCCATTGTAGGGCCCTCTTCACAAAGTAGTGGGTGTTTAATGTCCAGGAGAGGTCCTCACTGATGTGGACTAAACTTGGCAACATGCTCCACTTCAATTCCATTGATATATATGGGGGAATGGATGAAGCTTTCAGACTTCCTGAAGTCCACAATCAGCTCCTTTGTGGTAATATAAAATGTGTTTGTCTGTGAAGATATATAGCTTTATCTGAGTCCTATTACTAAATAAATATGTTTTGTATGATCACTCCTACAATAGTAAACAAATTACAAATTCAGATGTGTAAATTTATCAGCCAAAAGTTATAACTGGTATACATTCAATAAATCATTTACAGCATCTACCACTGCATGATATTCATGAAAAATGAGTAATGAGGCTTACATGACATTATCATATTTTAACTGCTTACATCATTCTAAAAGTGAGGCAATATAAATTAAAAAGATAGAATGATGTGAGCAGTTAAAATACATAATAATATCATGTAAGCATCATAACTCATTTTCCATTAATATTATGCAGTGGTAGATGCAGTAAATGATTTATTGAATGTACTCCAGTTATCTTTGTTACATTGTTTTATGCAGTAAATAAACAGGCTAGGTAGGAATCAGAGTGAGTCTGAATCTGTAAAGATGGAGAGTTTTACACCTAAACCACGTTTTTAGGTGTAACTAACACACTCAAAGGCCCAATCCCATTTCTTCTTTTTACCCCTTCCCCTTGTTTTCGAGTGTCACCGTAACCCCTTGGAACTGAGTTACAAGGGGTAGTGGTTGAAATCTTGCCCTACGAAATGGGACCCTCAAATTAAAAAAAAAACAAACAAAAAAAAAAAACTTTGCTTCATTAACAGCTACTAGCGCTGCTCTGTAGGCGACCCTGCCAGTCTGCAGTGACAGCAGAGGAGGGTAAAGTTCAGCTCCTCACTGATGGGCTTTAGTTACATTTAGGGAATACTTTCAAAGAGGGGACAATTATTTATTATCAACCACCCCTAATTCTTCAGTGATATTCGTCAGATTCTTGCTCGAATTTTCTCGTTCCACCTTAAATTGTGCAGCAGTGACATTCTGGTGCTTCAGGCGTCAGAACTGCTGGACTATTTAAGGTGGAACGGGAAAGTTAGCTAGCCAGCTACCAAAACATTAGCATGCTATTAGTGATTTTTAAGACTTGTTTTGAAGGAAAGGACCATAATACACTGAAACGATGTTAATATAATATGATGGTTATTGTAATTTTTAACATAGAAAATTCTCACATGTGTGTTTCTTTGGTCTCTTGTTCTCCATCTTTTTTTCTCATATCACTCTGTTTGGAGTCTCTGAAAAACCTCAGTTTGGAGGGTCACGTAGCCCCAACACTTCATCCTCTATCTCAACAAAGATTGGAACACCCTTACCCTAGACGTGAACGGAGGGCTAAGGGTGAAGTGGTAGGGGCAAGTTGTGAAATGGGACTGGGCCAAAGAGAAACAGGTGTGTGTCTTAAAGGGTCCCCCTGTGCTGAACTGGGATAAAACCCTCCTGTTAGATCTTCTTATTCTGGTTTCTCTGGTAACTAGAACTGCATCTCAACCAGCCAATCAGCGGATTGCTCTCATGCAGTTCTAGCCAACAGTAGTACAGGAGGTGGGGGGTTGTCGAAATATGGGTGGGATTAGAAAAAGAACACCCGCAGATCCACAGTGATAATCTTGTTCCAGTGTGTGTCCATCCTCAGTCCAGGTGGGGGCGCTAGTTCTACACCTCTCACAGAATAAAGCAGAGAAGAAGAAGAGCCCGCGTTATTAGAGAGAAACAGGAGCTGATCTGAAGGTAAACAGCTGTTTATCACTTTTTCACCCTGTTCACTCTGTTTTTACTGAAACTGGTGGAGAAACGTTCTCTTTTTAAAGGGAAGCAGTGAAACGTGTGAAATGTGTGAGAGAAGCAGCCTTCATCCACACTGAGCTGAGGAGGCTAATCTTAGCACTTAGCTCTGTGGTTTTGGGTGATGATGCTTTCGTAGGTTAGTTATGCTACTAGAAACTACTAACGTTTGTTCAGTTACATGTAAGAAACACTTATTTGAACTTTGCTGAGTGCTGTAGTAGTAGTAGTGGTAGTAGTAGTAGTAGTAGTAATAATAATAATGTTTTATAGAGCTTTGTTTCATACATGTTTCATACAATAAAAGCAAAAAACAACACAAGCAGAAAAAGGAACGGAGTAAAGACCAAAAACAATTGAGAAATAAAATAAACTACATAATTATAACAAAAGCTTTTTAAGTCAAACTTGGTTAAAAAGGTGTTTCTTAAAAATGTGTACTGAACATGAAAAGCAGAAAAAAGAGTAACGTAAGTAAAATAAAAGAAAAAAATAAGAGCTAATAAAATAATAAAAGTATGTCAAATAACAACTCAGGTAAAACATTCATTTTCAAAGAAAAGCCTCTCTGCTGTTTCTGTCGTTTTCTACATGGAGAAGGCCAAAATCTGCTGATCTAAGGTCACATGTTGGAACATAATGTGACAAACATTCAGTGAGATACACAGATGTTTTAAGGCCTTTAAAGGTTTCAAAAACAAATAAAATAAATGTAAAAACTATCTTAGAAGTTCTGGGCAGCCAGCCCAGTTTTTTTTTTTCCCCCAAAAACCTTTTCAAAAAGGGGGTGATATAAGCTCATGTTTTAGTTTTTGAAAGGATTCATGTTGCTGTATTTTGTACATGTTGTAAAGGATGTAATGTTTTATTAAGAAGCCCAGCAAAGAGAACACTGACAAAATGCGTGGACAAGTTTCTCTGCATCGTTCTGGGACAAAAAATGCATTCTTAGAAACTCCTTCCTATTTTGTTTCCCTGATTTTCTCTCCAGGTTAGCTGGATCCATTTCCACCCATTTGTTAGGTCTCCTCAGTCACACAGTAACACCAGCACTAGGAGGGTGAAAGCTAGCACAGACTTGCTTTAAAAGATGCTCCATCGCATCTTTCCGACTTGAACGCACTCAGAGGAAATTGCCAGCCGCCAGTTAACAGCCACCTGTGCTGGCTAGCATTGTGCTAATACAGTAGAGGTGAAGATCCTGCTCACCCAGAGAGTTGCCCCACCATGTTCAATGTCTGGCAAGCAACTGATATTTACATTTGTGTTTATATGAAAAAGCTTTCCTCTGGTACAAGTATTCAGTTGAAATAGAGGTAACATGTGACCACAAAATAATGACATTTCCTGTGAAACACTTTGGAGCAATTTTTGCCTCTCTAGCCATCATCCTTCTTGTGTGTGGGGGGGATGAGTCCATTTGAGCTATGATTGTTCTGATCATCTAAGGTATTGTCTTAATGACAAATGCATTTGGTGTGTGCACTCATTTGTAAAAGGCATTCGTGTATTCTCTAATGTTGCCTGTATAGATAAATGACTTGGCCTCTGATGGGAATTTGGCTTCTGTCTCCCCATTTTATATCCATTTCCTTATATTATTAAGGAAATCATGGAGTACTGCTTAGGAGGCCCTAAACAGTCAAGTGGAGATGTAAAGTGAGACATAAACTGGACAACGATTACATGTCTAGTAGTGCCCATTATAGAGATGTGATGGGGTGTTTGTGTGTTTTCAGATTGAGATAATTACCTGCAAAAACACATTTGTAATGATATCTTCCGTTTCTGTGCTCAAGTTGAGACTTTTAGATCTACATCGTGACCCCACATGACTTATTTCCTTCAAATGTGTGTACTCTTCGTTGTTTTGCAATGAAACCAAACATGGTGGTGTCATTTGCAGAGTAAATCAGTTTAACAGAGTCACTGTTAGAAATGTATTTATTGATGGGGAGAAGTGATTACTAACCCTAGTCTTGGAGATCTGTCTACCTGCAGATACTAGTTCCAGCCCCAGTCTGCCACACCTGCTCAAGCTAATACATTTCTTCAGAGGTCCTTGAATGGATCAGATTCCATTAGTTTTAGGTAACCAGAACGTAGCATGTTGCATGTTATATGCAGGCTGAAAAAACCTCTCCAGGAGGAGGGTGGGGGATCACTAGTGTAGAGAGAGTGGAGCAGGGGTGTACAACTGCAGTCTTGGAGGGGCAGTGTCCAGCACAGTTGGGTGATTTACCTGCTCAAATACACCCGATTACACTCATCTGTTAATTGTCAGGTGTAATGGGTGTGTTTTGAGAAGGGAAACCTCCAAACTGTGCTGGACACTGAACCAAAGTTGTGCACCCCTGGAATAGAGCAAGGGGAAGAGCACACACTCCTTACAAACTCTCTTCTTACCGGACAGGAAGTTGTGGATCTAAGAGCAGAATTGAGAGCTTTATCCAGTAGATGAAAAGAATTAATGCAGAACTTTCATCTTTAAACAAACTGCAAACATGTGAATGTTGGATCTGTCTGCCATATTAAAAATACCATCTATAAACTACTCTCTTGAACCAAAAAGGCACAACACACTACATGAGATACTGACTGAAGCGATAGCTGTTCAACACAGTGCCTGAGTGGTACATGTTATCAAGACTGGCTGCTTTCTTAGACTTCTGTATAGTTAGTATTCAGTGGACTTGAGTTTTGGTGGGTACAGCAGAGGGCAGAGGGGAATGAATCACCTGCCATCAAGATGCTAACAGACAGGGAAGAGGAGTGAAGAGTCTGCAGAACAGTGGATTTATGAAAGGTTGATATACACAGATTTAGGCTTAAAATGATTGTTAAATTCATTTTAACATAGTGATTTATAATACAGCATTTTGACATGGAAACGTGCATAGATTGAAACATTTTTCCAACATGGCTTACGAACTTCTGACAATAAGAACTAAAACATGAGGGGGTGGGGGCATCCACAGAGGACCTGGGGTGGTAGGTCACTGTGGTATTCATGTGTTGGAGAAAAAGGCACAAGACACAATGTCACGCCTGTTTAATCCGACGTCTCATTGGGTTTTTATCCCCAATCATATTGCGTCTTTTCGCTATATTGAAGTTTTATGAGGACTGCCTGCCTAAATGAGATGGGATTTAACAGTTTGACACCTGTGTTTGCCTCTGTTAGTTTAATGCCTCAGTTAGCTTTAAATTACAAGCGCATTATTCTTCATATTGCATATTCATATTTCTTAGTTAATGTCCTGCATAGAAGCTGGAACAACAGACTTTGTGCCTTTTAGAAGCAGCTTATGAAGAATTTGTGATAGATAGATATTATAGATAGATATAGATAGATATAGATTGTACATGCTTGTGTTAAAGGCTCAACATCATTTCCATGTTATTAGTAGCACAACAAGATTATCTACTGCACATTTAAAAAGCAACTACTATTGAGGTTTATTGAATTATGGGTATAAAGTGATGTTGCTTTGACTGTTTAAGGCAACTCCTAAATTATATTGAAAAGATAAATTGTGTCTTGTAAATGTTATAGATGACAAATATTTTTCCATTTTTTAACTCTGATCAAGTGAGTGTTTCTTGATATTTGTGCATTTGGCATTGATTTTCTCCTCCAGAACGATCTCTTGTTGCAAGTCTCCTCCTGCTTGAAGTGTCCACTTTTCCTCCACAGTTCAAATTTTCATCCACTGACACATCAAGAAACTTATTCAAAAGAAATACATTACACTGCTAAAGTTAGGAAACATAGACTGTAAGAACAAGATGCCCAGAAGCTCCAGAACTCAAACATATTCTTCTGCTCTCAACAAGAAGACACCTCGCAGACGAACGCCAAAGACTGCAGGCAAAAAAAGAACACATCACTGCTCAGAGTGCGGCAAGGGCTTTAGTGAATTCAGTGATCTCCGAAGACACAAGCGCATTCACACAGGAGAGAAACCGTATCAGTGCTCGGAGTGTGGGAGGAGTTTTACTGTACAGAGTAATCTCCGAAGACACAAGCGCATTCACACAGGAGAGAAACCGTATCACTGCTCAGAGTGTGGGAAGAATTTTAGAGAACAAGGTGCTCTCAAACAACACCAGCGTGTTCACACAGGAGAGAAGCCGTATCACTGCTCTGAGTGTGGGAGGAGTTTTAGACATAGGGTTGCCCTAAAAGCACACCAGCAAGGTCACACAGGAAAGAAACTGTACCACTGCTCAGAGTGTGGGAAGAGTTTTACTAAACTGGAAAATGTCCATATACACCAGCGAGTTCACACGGGAGAGAAACCGTATCACTGCTCACACTGTGGAAAGAGTTTTGGACATAGTGGTGCCTTCAAAATACATCAGCGACTTCACACGGGAGAGAGACCGTATCCCTGCTCAGAGTGTGGGCAGAGTTTTATTACACCGAGACATCTTCAAACGCACCAGCGCATTCACACAGGACAGAAGCCGTATCACTGCTCAGAGTGTGGGAAGAGTTTTACTTCACGGCATTATGTTAAAATACATCAGCGTATTCACACAGGAGAGAAACCGTATCACTGCTCAGAGTGTGGGAAGAGCTTTAGATTTACTGATTCCTTCAAAACACACCAGTGCAGTCACACAGAAGAGAAGCTGCATTGCTGCTCAGAGTGTGGGAAGAGTTTTAGTGAAAGTGGTGCCCTCAAGAAACACCAGCGCATTCATGCAGGAGAGAAACCGTTCCACTGCTCAGAGTGTGGGAAGAACTTTACTGCACAGAGTAGTCTTCAAACACACCAGCGCATTCACACAGGAGAGAAACTGTTTTACTGCTCAGAGTGTGGGAAGAGTTGTACCACACAGAGAGATCTTAAAACACACCAGCTCGTTCACACAGGGGAGAAACCGCATCAGTGCTCAGAGTGTGGGAGGAAGTTTACTACACTGTGTAAACTCCGATCACACCAGCGCATCCACACAGGAGAGAAACCGTATCACTGCTTAGAGTGTGGACAGAGTTTTCCAACACTGAGTAAATTCAAAACACACCAGCGCATTCACACTGGAGAGAAACCGTATCACTGCTCAGAATGTGGCAAGAGTTTTACTACACAGAGAAATCTCCTAAGACACCAGCGCATTCACACAGGAGAGAGACCGTATCACTGTTCGGTATGTGGGAAGAGTTTTTCTACGCTGGATTATGCCAAAACACATCAACGCATTCACACAGGAGAGAAACCATATCACTGCTCAGAGTGTGAGAGGAGTTTTAATACCAAGAGTAGCCTTACAACACATCAGCGCATTCACACAGGAGAGAAACCGTATCAGTGCTCAGAGTGTGGGGAGAGCTTTAGAGAAAACTGTGCCCTCAAGAAACACAAAGGAGTTCACACAGGAGAAAAACAGTTGTAGTGATCCCTGGACAATTTACCCTTTCCCAGTGAACTGATCCTGTATTCCAAAGGCTGACCCTTTTGTTACAGGTCTTATCTAGAAGCCAGAGAGTCTGGCACAACAGCTCTCGGAAGATCGAAAAGAAACAGGATAAGGAAAATTTATACCTGTGCAATGTTATTGTTAAAAAATAAATTTGCTGTTTAAATCAATATTTTACTATAGACCCACAGTGCTGAAATAAGAAATGCTGTATAAAGCTTAATTGACATGTAATTTAAAAACCTATAATTCATTATTAGTCAGCACTATTACTGAGTAGATACTGTATAACATTAACTTCTTTCATTGTTTTGAGAATTTCATAATAAGACAAACCCTTTCCCAGAAAAGTTGGGATGCTGTGCAAAATGTAAATAATAATGGAATTCCATGATGTGTAAATCATTTAAACCCTGAAACTACAAAAAAGACAGCATATCAAATGTGAAACTGAAAAATGTTATTGGTTTTGGAAATATATATGCACAGAATTTCGGCTGTTCATCAGTTCAGGGTCTCCTTTGCTGTGCTTTTCATTTCATAATGAGCCAAATGTTTTCAGTGGTGACAGGTCTGGACTGCAGGCAGGTCAGTTTAGCACCCGGACTCTTTTAATACAGAGCAATGCTGCTGTAATACATGCAGAATGTGGTTTGTCATTGTCTTGCTGAAATAATCAAGGTCTTCCCTGAAAAAGACATTGTCTGTATGGCAGCATATTGAATGGGGCAGTTGTTGGCTGGAAGTTAGGGAACCAGTCTTGTGACTGGAAGGTCGCCGATTTGATCCCCTGAGGTGACAGTACGTGACTAAAGTGCCCTTGAGCAAAACACCTAACCCCCAACTGCTCCCTGGGCACTGCGGATGGGGCTGCCCACCGCTCTGGGCAAGTGTGCCCTAGTGTGTGTTCACTAGCGTGTATGTGGTGTTTCACTGCACTGATGGGTTAAATGCAGAGGTGAAATTTCCCCACTGTGGGGACTAATAAGGGTCATTTTTTCTAATATGCTATATCTATATATCATTCAGCTTTCACTTTCACAGATGTTCAAGTCACCCATGCAATAATGCCCCCCCTATACCATCACAGATGCTGGCTTTTGAACTGGTGCTGATAACAAGCTGGATGGTCCCTCTCCTCTTTAGCCTGGAGGACACAGCGTCCATGATTTCCAAAAAGGCTGGACCACAGGACACACTTCTGCTTCGCCTGAGTCAATCTTAAATGAGCTTGGGCCCAGAGAAGGCAGCAATGTTTCTGGATCCCTTGAAATATGTTTTTTCTTTGCATGGTAGAGTTTTAAATTTAACTTTTAATTTGTGGATGCATCAACAAACTGTGTTCCCAGACAGTGGTTTTCAGAACTGTTTCTGAGCCCATGCAGTGATTTTTTTCTTTACACAATTGTGTCTGTTTTTAATGCAGTGCCACCTGAGGGCCCAAAGATCATGGACAGTCAGTAGTGGTCACTTGCATACATAGATTTTTAATGATATTATGTACCACTGATGATAAAATCCCCACGTTCACTGTTATTCTTGAATTATTGGACTATTTGATCATGCATGTCTTTGTGAACCCCTCCCCTTCTTCTGAAAGACTTGGCCTCTCTGAGATGCTCTCTTTTTTAGTATTACATAACTAGTCTTTTGTTCTCCCTGTCCCAACTTTTTTGAAACTTGTTGCTGGCATCAAATTCCAAATGGGCATATATTTTTCAAAAAACACATTTTCTCAGTTTGAACTTTTGATATGTTGTCTTTACTATTTTCATTTAAATATAGGGTTTAAATGATTTGCACATCACTGCATTTGGGTTATTTACCTTTTGCACAGCGTCCCAACTTTTTTGGAAATGGGGTTGTTGGTGGTTCAAATAGCCTTTGAATTTTGTTTTCTTTATTAAAAAGTCTTGTTTTTACTAGTCATCATCTTACTCTTATTAGAAGTAGGATTAGTGATGTGTATTTAGTCTTATGTAACTTACTTCATGCTGCTGTACTTAGAATAATTTGTACTTTTGTTTTTTCTAGTAGAATACTTATAGCAACATTAAGCATGCAAGTTCATGTATGTACATTATTAAAGTGTTTTTACTTTTAAACCAGCTCTTCTTACAATTACAATAGGGTTCGAGCACTTCTATGTTTTTGTTAATTTGGTATCAACTTTGACAGCCAGGCAGTTTAATATGCATGAAATCATTTACATGTGGACTTCGATTGTCTCTAGGACACAGATGAAAATACAACAGTGTTAAAAAGATGCCACTAAATAATAATAATAATAATAATAATAATAATAATAATGCTTTATTTAGATAGCACTTTTCATGCTGATGGCAGCTCAAAGTGCTTTACAGACAAATCATGCTTAACAATAAGATGTTATGAGTATTAATTTAAAATCATATAAGACAATGACACAGATCAGATTAAAAAGAAAAATACCAAAGTGATGCAGAATTTTAACTGAACCTAAATTGAAGACATACGTTTTTAATGTTTATTTAAAGTGCGCTATGAGCATGACTGTCTATTAAACGGTGGAATCAAAGCCACAGATTAGAAGCAGAATAACAGAAAGAGTCTCTCCACATTTTCTGTATTTTACAGAAGGTATTTGCAGGATCACAAGATCACATGCTGGCAATCTGTGATGTAAGCGGGGGGCTTTAAGGTCATTTAAGGTCATAGCCTTAAAAAATAGTAGCAGTACTGTAAAAGATACCAGTAACCAGTGCAGTTCTTTCAAAACGGGAGAGATGTGATCTCTCCGTGTTGTTTTTGTTAGGATGCTGCTGCATTTTGTACGAGTTGTAAGGGATGTATTGTTTTCTTTGGAAGTCCAGTGAGAAGATCATTACAGTGATCAACTCTGCTTGTAACAAATGCATGAACAAGTTTCTCTGCGTTGCTCTAAGATAGGAAAGGCTGAATAGCAATATTTCTCAAATGATAAAAATCTACTTGAAAAAGAAAAAACACAAAGACCCTAAAACTGAACCTTTTGGGACTCCACAAGAAGTGTTGATTTCCCAGTGAAACCATGAACTGTCTTTCAACTACATATGATTTAAGCTATTCTAAAATTGTGCTTGAGTGGTCGACCCAGTTTTACAACATGGTGGATCAGAATCTTGTGATCAACAACAGAAGCTACACTAAGATCCAATAAGACCAGAATTAGGATTACATGCATCGTCACTGGGATTGAGGTCACTCACAACACCAACCGATGCTATCTCAGTACTATGGTTAGAAAGAAAACCTAAGAACCAAACAGTTACTGAACCCCAGATGCCATCAGCCTACAGCAGCAATGATTTTATGAATTTCTTCAATAATGAAATGGAAAAAATCAGGCAAATACATCAGAGTCTGCAGTTAAACAATTAAGATACAAACCTGCTGCCTTACAAGGCCAATACAGATCTGGAGAATATTGTAACTACTGCAGAAAGGCTGGAATAATTTACCTTACTTCAACAAACTGAACTAGTTAAAATCATTTCCTCTGCTAAATCTTCTACCTGCATGTTAGATCCAATTCCTACAAGTTTAGTCCAAAAAATCTGCCAGAAATAGCCTATTCTGTCAATAATAAACTCCTCTCTTAGCCTTGGGTATATTCTAAAAACTCTTAAACTAGCAGTAATTAGACTCGGATTAAGAAAGCTAAGCTTGATCCCTGTGAGCTATCAAATTATAGACCTATCTCGAATCTTCCCTTTATTTATTAAGAAAGGAAAATGCTGTGGCAACACATCAGAGTTCATATTTGCATAGGAATCATATACATGACAAATTTCAGTCTGGTTCTAGACCTCATCATAGTACAGAGACAGCACTAGTGAGAATTTTAATCTCTTATTATTCTCTGACCAAGGAAATGCATCTTTGTTAGTCTTCCTTGATCTTAGTCGGCATTTGATATGATAGACCACTCTATATTACTAGATAGACTAGAAAACCTTGTAGGGGTAACAGGAATAGCTCTTTCCTGGTTCAGGTCCTACTTCACTGATCGCTATCAGTTTGTTAATATAAACGGTGAATCATCTGTCCTCACAAAGGTAAAGTATGGTGTTCCACAAGGCTCTGTTTTACGTCCTTTATGTGCTACCACTGGGTAACATTACCAGTAAACACGCCGGGCAACACAATAGATAGAGATCTGTCCTTCGACGCACATATAACTAATATTACTAGAACAGCCTTCCTGCATCTCTGCAATATTGCTAAATTGAGAAATGCATTCTCTCTACAGGATGCAGAAAAGTTAGTTCATGCATTTATTACTTCAAGGCTAGATTACTGTAATGCCCTGCTGGCTGGATGTCCCAGCAACAGCCTTAACAAGCTTCAGCTGGTCCAGAACGCTGCAGCCAGAGATCTTACTAGAACCAGAAAGTTCGACCATATCAGCCCAGTTTTATCAACACTGCACTGGTTACCAGTTAAATTTCACATTGATTATAAAATTCTCTTACTGACCGATAAAGCACTAAACGGACTCGCCTCTCAGTACCTGAGTGAACTTCTCTCCCACTATGAACCATCACGCCTACTTAGATCACAAGGTGCTGCTCACTATTAGTACCTAGAATTAATAAAGTTACATCAGGGGGCGGAGCTTCTCATACGAAGCCCCCCCAGCTTTGGAATAATCTTCCAGTCAGTGATCGGGACTCAGACTCAGCCTCAGTCTTTAAGTCTAGGCTAAAACCCACTTGTTTAGTGGAGCCTTTGGTAATTAGTGTTTCCTGTTAGACAAAAGGTGCAGATCTAATGGCCTTAGAGTGTCCTGCTGTTGTCCCGCTGCCTCACATGTTCACTCAGGTTTGCTGACGGTGGAGTGGAGGGGTGCCGACATCTCTGACATCTCAGGGAGCCTCATGACTCTGTTACCTTCTGTCTCTCCCTCTTAGTGAGGCTGTACTATCTAGACCTGCTGGAGTCTCTGCTG